AACCTCTACTCCGAGGAGGGCAAAGGAATTTTTGACTGCCGGAAAAACATCCTGGGGCACATGCAGCAGGTGGGAATGGGGTGAGGGTTTGGGAATTCCCCCAGGAACAGGATCGGTGTTCAGGGGATTTCCTGGGAATGGGATCAGGATTTGAGGGATTTCACTGGCTCATCCTGGATTCTCCTGGGGCAGGGAGGCAGCCCCACCCCCTTTGACCGTAATTTCGGCACCAAGATGGGCGCCAAGGCCGTGGCCTGGATCACCGGGAAGATCAAGGAGTGCTCTCGGCATGGTGGGTGTTGCTGGATGGAGGATCTCAAAGGGACCCCAGAGTGACCCTACATTCCCAAACCATTCCCAAAAGGCCCTCCTGCAGATTCTGGTGGATGTTCCCCACTCCTGGATGATCCTAAACATTCATAACCCATTCATCCCATGTTTCTGGAAGGTCCCAAACTTTCCCAACCTACCCTCCCATGGGTTTTCCCCTCCTGGAGCATCCCAAACATTCCCAATCCCTGCTCCAGGAGGATCCCAAACATCCCCAACTTCCCGTCCCGGGTGTTCTCCCATCCCTGAAGATTCCCAAACATTCCCTCCCATGTCCCTGGAGGATCCCAGGTGTTCCCAACTCACCTTCAGGAGGTTCCCAAACGTTCCTGTGTTCCTCCCAGGCCGGATCTTTGCCAACACGGCGGACTCGGCGTGCCTGCTGGGGATGCGCAAGCGCAGCCTGGTGTTCCAGCCCATCGCCGAGCTGCGCCAGCAGACGGATTTTGAGTGCGTGTCCCTCCCCGTCCCACCCCAGGAAAGCGGGACAAAGCCTGGGATCTCTCCCCGGGGATGTCCCCAGCCTGTTCCTGTCCCCTCAGGCACCGCATCCCCAAGGAGCAGTGGTGGCTGAAGCTGCGGCCCATCCTCAAAATCCTGGCCAAGTACAACATCGAGCTGGACACGTCAGAGACGGCGCACCTGGAGCACCTGACCCGCAAGGTCCTGGTCCCTGAGGCCACCCTGTGACAGGGACAGCAGCCACTGCCAGCCTGAGGAACCCCAAAATCCCCTTTTCCCATTGTCCTGGGGATTTTATGGGGTTTTGAGAAGTGGTCCCCAAGTGATGTCATGATAAATTGAGGAGGGATGGTGGAGGTTGAGGTTTTTAGGGTTAAAAGTCACAAAACAGAGATGTTTCAATAAATTCAGTGCTTGTGAAAGTGCTCCAGGTCTCTGTGAATCCATGGAAAGGCGTACCTGGATCCCAGTGACACCAAATCCCTCCTGATCCTCAGGATTTCCCTGTCCAGCATAACAGAGAGGGATAAAAGAGGTAGAATTTGAGCTTTCATCCCCAAGTTCATCCCAGAAAATAACAATGACAGTTTTTAGCTGCTTGGTTTCACCTTGGAGAGCTGCTCTTCTATTGGATCCTGGAATAGATCCCAAAAATGCCCCCCAAACTAACACCAAAGGATGAATTCCTGGTGGGAAACCTCAGAAAGAGCTTGAAGAGATGGGAGGAGAGTTCCACATGGAACTCTTTAGAGAAACTTCTTTCATCCACAAGAATTCTAGCCCTGCAAAATTTTGGTTTTTGAGGTGGTTTTACCCTTGATACAGCATAAAAATTATGGATAAACAGGGAGAACTTCACTCTCCATGCTGGAGAAACACCTGGATCTTTGATTTTCAGCTAACACATCCCACAAGATTACTCTGCATCTCAACCCACAATTTCTTGCCTTGGGTCCTTCCTCAAAGGAGACTTTTCCTTTAAAACCTTCCTTTCACAAGGCAAAAAAAAAAAACAAAAAAAAAGGGAAAAACAGATTAATCCAACAGCTGGAATATAATTTGCCATCAGAGGGATATTGTTCATTGCAGGGGAGTGAAAGGGGGGGACAGGGAGAGAAGCAGAGGGAACAGAGAGGAGGAAGTGGAGGGAGCGTGAGAGAACAGGGGGAGAAATGGAGGGGACAAAATGAAAGGGACGAGGGGAGGAAAGGGAGGCAGCGTGAGGGGTCAGCAGGGTCCTGGGCGGCCGAGGGGAACAAAAACCACAGAGAGGAACCTGGGAAGCCGCAAAGTGAGCGGGGATGCTCTCCCTGGAGCGAGGGGCGATCCGGGGGAAGGGCAGCGGTCCCTCCCTCAGGTGAGCAGCAGCAGGTACTCCTTGAGGCAGGCGGGCAGCGGCAGCTGCTGCACGGCCTGGGGCAGGAAGCGCAGGCCGAGCGAGCGGCGCACGGCGTAGCGCGACAGCGCCTGCAGCGTGCCCGGCGCCGAGCACAGCAGCGTCAGCCGCTGGCACAGCTGCGGGTCCCGCACCACCTCCCAGGGCAGGCTCCCGTTCTTGCGCAGCTCAAAGTGTCCCGTGGCTCTGTGCAGCAAATCCAGGCAGGAATCCTCGCGCTCCGTGCCCAAGCCCCGCACCAGCAGCGCCACCAGGCGCGAGATGGGGCTCTGGCCCTTCAGGTTGACCACGCGCACCTCGGCGCCGAAGTCCAGCAGGATGCTGACGCTCTCCAGGTTGCCCTTCATGGCCGCCCAGCTCAGGGGGGTGTCGTTGTTGTAGTCCAGGGCGTTGACCAGGGCGCCGTTGGCCAGCAGGGCCCGCACGCACTCGGCGTTGTTCTTGAAGGCCGCCCAGTGCAGTGGCGTGTCCTTGTTGCCGTCCAGTGCGTTGGGGTTGGCTCCGTACTCCAATAAAATCTCCACGCAGGTTTCATCTTTTTCTGCTGCATAGTGAAGGGCTGTCCGGTTGTAGCCGTCCAGGGCGTTCACCTGGGGGAGGAAAAAAAGGTTTGGGGGTCAGGAGTGGCCCCAGCTGGATCCTGCAGTCAAAGGTCCCAAATCCCAAATGTAGGGAAAAATCAGAAAGGGTTTTAGCCCAGTAGCCAGGGGAAAGTGGGGTAAAAAATCCAGCAAATTTAGGGTTTAATTTTTCCCTCCCAGTCTCCTGAAATCTCAGTGCAAAAATTTAGGTTCCAATCCTACCCCCTCGCCTTCCCAAAATCTCAGTGCAAACATTTAGGTTTTAATTCTCCCTCCTCACCTCCCCAACAGCTCAGCATGAAAATTTAGGTTCCAATCATTCCTCCGCTCCCAAAATTTCAGCCCAAGAATTCCCTCCCTGTTGAGACAATGAACCTTCCCCTGGTGCCACTTTGTGAGGGGACAGAAGCCCATGGAATATTCTGAGCTGGAAAAGATCTACAAAGATCATAAAATCCAAGCCCTGGCCCTGCATAGGACACTCAAAAATCCCCCCCTATGCTGGGAGCGCTGTCCAAACCCTCGTCCCCAGAGCTTGTGCCCCATGACACTCTGGGGAAAGAACTTTTTCCCAAAATCCAACTTAAACACATCAGATGTAACCTCAGCTGTTTGTCAGCTCCTCCCGACTTCCCTGCCCCTTATCTCGGAATTTTCCACCTGTTCTGGGTTTTTCCAAAACTTTACCTCAGCTCCTTTTTGCAGCAGCAGCTCCACGCAGTCGGCATCAGCCACCATGCAGGCACAGTGCAGGGGTTTGAGGGTGCCATGCAGGCAGTTCACATCGGCACCCTGGGGAGCACAGCAACGCCCCCTGGTCAGGAACTCCCCCTTTTCCATCCCTTCAGAAAAGGTTAATTCACAGAAATCCCGGGGATTTGCAGGAACCGCCTCGGGGCCAGCAAATCCCACCCTTTCCCTGCCCTTCCCAAGCCTTCAAGAAAGGCTTAATTAAGAGAAATCCCAAAAAGGCTCCCCCGATCTTAATCCCGGCTCCCGCTTGTGTTTCACCAATTCACTGTCACCAAACAGTGCACGGAGACCCCCCAGGCTCCAGGGCTCCAGAGGGGGAAGGAAAAGCCTGGCGTCCCTAAACCAACCGGAGATGCCCTGACCTTCCCTCCTTGGGACCCGAAAGCCGCTCCACGGAGTCCCCGGCGGCTCCGCAGGGAGCGGGACAGCCGGGGACAGCTCGGCAGTGCCCGTCAGAGGCACCCGGAGCCCCGCGGCGACCCGAGCAGGCCGGCCCGGCAGCGGAAGGGGTGGGATGCCTCACCCGGCCGATGAGATCCTCCACGTTGTCGCGAGGGAAGGAGCGGATGGCGGCGATGGTGCGGATGAGGCGCTCGGACAGCGAGTACTTGCTCTGAATGCTCTGCATGATGTACCACATGGCGCGGGCCGCGCCGCGGCATCCCCGGCCGGCCCCGCCGAGCCCCGCGCCGGCCCCGGGGCGGGGAGGGAGCCGCAGGAGAGTGCGGAGGTGGAGCCGCGGCTGTTCCGGAGCGGTCGCGGGGCGGTTCCGGGGGTCCGGGGCGGTTCCGGGGGGCCCGAGCCGGTCCCGGTGCGCTCCCGGAGCAGCGGCCACAGCCGGCCGAGCAGGACGCGGAAATGCCGCTAACCAGAAGTGACGTCACACCAAGTGACCCGCCCCGCCCCCTTCGCCACAAATCCGGCTCCGGCTCCCCCGCTGGTCCCGCCCCCTCCGTTTCTTTCCTCCAGCACCGGGCGCCCTTAAGCCGCGCCCCCATCGGATTTCCACCAATCCTCGCTCTCTTAAGATCACGAAGGCCCTCCTCCATAGACCCCCTCGTAACCTCCCCAATTTTTCCCCATAACCCGCTTTCCCCTTAGGTCACGCCCACACCAAGCCACCAACCAATAGGAACGCAGCACCGACAACACCCCCTCGATCCGCCCGGGGGGCGGGGCCCGCGCGGTAGAGGCCACGCCTCTCCCCCCCCCCGGCTCCACAAACGGACACAAAATGGCCCCAAAATTGGCATATTTTTATTCCTTTTTAACTTCTTCTGCCCCCAGCCACCTCCAGAGAAGCCCCGGAGCTCCTGTCCAGGAGCCTCGGAGCCCGCCAGAGGTCCCTGTTTGTCCTTTATGGCCGTGGGTTGAGATCCCACTGGGAGCGCCCGCCCCGCGCCAGCCGCAGAGCAGGGCCCTAAAGAAAGGAGAATGGTCCTGGCTAGCGAATCTGGGGGTGGCCACCGCATTTTGGGGAGTGGCTACTGAATTCTGGGGGGGGTGGGTGGGTTACCGAATTTGGGGAGGGTGGCCTCTGAATTTGGGGAATAGGTATTGCATTTGGAAGTTTTGTCTTGATTGAGGAGGAAAAGGGGTGGGATGAGGGAGGGGCAAGAAGGAGGGGGTGGAGCTGGGGTCCTCCCAGTATCAGCAAGCCCCCCCTCCCAGTAACCCAAACACCCCCTCCCAGTGCTCCCAGGAACCCAATTTCTCTCCCAGTAACCAATTCCCGCTTCCAGTCCCTCCCAGGAACCCCCTCCCCAGTCCCTCCTGGAGCTCCCTATATCCCTCCCAGTCCCTCCCAGTTTATCCCAGTCCCCCCAGATTCCCGTCTCTGCTTCTCCCAGTTTATCCCAAGGCCGCCAGTCCCTCCCAGTTCCTCCCAGTGCCCCCTGTACCTGTCCCTCGCTTGTCCCAGCCAGGGGGGGCACTGAGGGGGGAAAGGGGCGTTAGGGGTTTTTGAGGTCACCCCACAGATTGGGGTCAGCGCTGAGGGGCTTCTCTGGGAGGGCTTGGGGTCCTGCAGGGGCTTTGGGGAGCTCTGGGCTCCCTCCGTGGGGGTTTGGGGTCACACCACGGGGGTTTGAGGCCCTTTTGAGTTTTTAGGGTCCCTTTTCAAAGAAGAGGAAAGATGGTGGGGATTGGAGTTGAAGGGCAGGGCTCGGGGCATTATTTTGGGGTAAATCCTGTAGGATTTGAGGTCGCTCACCCACACTGGAGGCCAGAGAGGTCCCTGAATTTCTGTAGGCTACGCCAGCCTGTGGGGGGAGAGCAAACCATTTTGGGAACCCCCCCTATTTTGGGGTGGCCTCCATTTGGGGGGAGGTCTCACCTGCCATCCTGGTGTGCTGCGGGACTGGGGGGGGTCCAGTGGGGCCAAGCGGCTGCAGAAGAGAGGCAGGAGGTTTGGGGGACCCCCTGTGCAATTGTGGGACCCCCATCCCAATTTAGGATGCCCCCCCACTTCTTACCTGACCACTTGACTGCTGAGCTGCCGGCGGGGCTGGGGGGTGACTGGAAACAAAATTTGGGAAGACCCCTATGAGCAAGGAGGGGATGGGGAGGCGTTTTAGGGTGTGGAGGACGCCCCTAAAAATCTGTGGGGCACTTACCTGAATGTGTGGGGGAGGGACGCGGGGTGCTGCTGCGGCTGCTCCAGCGCCAGCCTGGGGAGAGCTGTGGGGAGATTTGGGGGGAAGTTGTGTGGGGTGAAGTTTGGGGAGACAGTTTTGGGGGTGAGGGAAGGGGTAGGGGGGCTTTGGGGGAGTTTGGGGTCCAGGGAAGCGGCAGGGGGGCTTTGGGGGGCAGTTTGGGTCCAGGGAAGGGGGCTTTGGGGGCCACCTGCATGCGGCGCAGCTCCTCATTCTCCCGGCGAAGTGACTCCAGCTCCCTGGGAAGGAGGAGGATTTAATGGAGGGTGGGAATTCCCCCCATTTGGCGTGGGGGTCCCTCCACAGGGCAGCTGAGGGGGGCAGAGCAAAGAGGTGGAAGCTCACCAAGACGGCAGCAAATGGCAGAAGATGCTGTCACCAAACGTGGCAGCCAAGGGGGGGTAAGACCCTCCCAAGAAAGGGGCCAGAAGGACGAGGACTCTCATCAAGGTGTTGACCAGGGAGTGCTGCCTCACCCACATGCCCAGAGGAGCCCAAGATGGAGGTGTGACACCCCTACCATGGTGTACCCCTCACCTCCTCCTCTCCCCCAACTCCTCTCTGGCCTTCTCCAGCTCTGCCTGCACCCGCCGAGTTCTGTCCCGGTGCAAGTCCACCAGAAGCTGCGTCTGTGCTCTCTGGAACCGCCACACCTGGGGGACATGGGTCACCTCCTAGTACCCCACAGCGTGTTGGGTTGGGGACAGTGGTGGAACCTCATCCCCCATCACCTGTGTCCTCCTCACCTGCGTGATGTGGGCAAGGTGCTTGAGGGCAAGGGCCACCGGGTTCTTGAAGAAAACCTTCTCCTGTGGACGCATCTGTTGGGCACGGGGGCATCAAAAGGATGGGAAGAAGGTTGGAAACAGGAAGGGAAAAGGGTGGGAAGGGGATGTGGGGCACAACATGGGGGACACTGGCCTGATCGGACAGGGGCAGGTAGCGGCAGGTGGTGCCACAGACTGAGCAGGGACCTGTGGAAGGGGGAGAAAAAAGTGAGAAAAGTGAAAGAAAAAGATGTCCAAAAGTCCCAAAAATTGTGTTCCTTGAGGGAAATGGACCATTTCCGCTCATTTTAGGGTTTTAAATTGAGGCAGGATGCTCCATTTCCACAATGCTAAGGGTGTAAATTGAGGGAAAATCCTCCTTTTCCTTTCATTTTAAAGACAGAAATTGAGGGGAAGCCCTCTATTCCCAATATTTTAGTGGTCTAAATTGAGGGCAGAGCCCTCACTTATTTATTTGCTTGAATTGAGGTGACCCCTCCTTTCCCTCTCATTTTAAGGGGCTAAATTGAAGGAAACTCCCCCTTTCTCAGCATTTTAAGGGCTTAAATTGGGGCTTTTCCTCAGTTTTACCTGTGCCCCCGCAGCCCTCGCACAGGATGTGGCCGCAGCTGGTGATGGCGAACCGGGCGCCGTCCTGGCGGAAACAGCGACTGCAGTGGAACCAGTCCATGGCGGCACCGGGGCGAGGAGCTGCCTGTGGTGCCTCCACACGCGAGAGCCTGGGAGGGAATGAGGGGGAAGGTGAAGGGAAAAGGGTGGGGAAAAGTGAGAGAAAAAAGGGATGGAAATGCGAGGGGGAAAGGGTTGGAAACGTGAGGGGAGAAGGGCTGGAAGCGTGAGGCGAAAAAGGGCGGGAAATGTGAGGGGGAAAGGGTTGGAAACGTGAGGGAAATGTGAGGCGAAAAAGGGCGGGAAAGTTGAGGCAGGAGAAAGGGCAGCAAGAGAGAAAAAGGGATGGCAATGTGAGGGGGAAAGGGTGGGAAATGTGAGGCAAGCGTGAGGCGAAAAAGGGCAGGAAAATTGAGGGGGAAAGGGTCAGAAGCGTGAGGTGAAAAAGGGTGGGAAATGTGAAGGGTAAAAGGGTGGGAAAGTTGAGGCAGGGGAAAGGGCAGCAAAAGAGAGAAAAAGGGCAGGAAATGTGAGGGGAAAAGGGTGGGAAACCTGAGGGGAAAAAACAGCAGGAAAGGTGAGAGGAAGAAGGGTGGGAAAAGAGAGGGAAAAAAAAAGGTGGGAAACTGGGAAACATGAGAGAAAAAAAGGTGGGAAATGTGAGGGGAAAAAGGGCAACCTGAATGGGGACAGGGAAATCAGAACTGGGACATCAGGATGGGGACAGCAGCATCTGGACCTATGGGGGCAGATGGGGATGGGGATAAGGACACCAAGATGGAGATGCCATGAGGGGCCAGGATGGGGATGGAGACACCAGGATGGAAACAGGGACACCAGGATGAGCCTGTGGAGACACTGGGAGTGGCATGGGGACACATGAATGGGGGTGTTGGGATGGGGGACACTGTGATGGGGATTGGGATGAAGATGCTGGGATGGGGACTCCAGGGTGGGGACAGGGATTCCAGGACCCTGGGGATGGGGTTGCCAGGATGGGAATCCTGGGACTTGGGCACATGGATCTGCTGATGCCATCAATAAAAGGTCTCTGAGCAGCCTTCTGAGCAGCCTTGTCCCACCATATGGATTCGGGGACACCAGCCAGGGGGTGATGACATTGTCCGACTGTAAGATTTTGGGGTCACACAGTGGTCCCAGTATGACCATGCAGACCTTTACCCATCCTCCAGGAACCAGTGCCTGGGGAGAGGGAAGGAGATGGAGACCCCATACTCTCACCCCAACACCCCTAAACCCTCTGGGGGTCTCTGGGGGCATGGGGTGCAGGAAAAAACACCCCAAAACCCCAATTCCACAATCCCACAATCTCAGAATGTCAAGATTCTTATTGTGGAATACCAAGCATTTCTATTGTTCGGTGGGGGGTGTGTGTGGGGGGGCAGCAGGAAAAGCACCTCCAGAACATTGGTGGGATCAGAGATTTGATATGGTGCAGGGGGAGCACCCGAAAACCCTGATCCTACTATTCCATGCTCCCAGAATCATGAAATCGCGCTAAATCTTTGGCTGTGTTGCATAAATTTAACAATTTTTAACTGGGGGGGCGGTGTTTGAGGGCAGGAAAAGCACCCCCAGAATATCGGGGGAAGGGCTCAGGGTTTGGAGGGTGCAGGAGGCACCCCAGAACTGCAATCCTACCATTACCTGATCCCAAAATCCCTCCATGCCACTGTTGAACCGTCCAGCCTCGCTGTGCAATTCCAACCATTTTTAATTATAGGGATGGCGGGGGGGGGGGGGGCAGAAATGCATCCCCAGGCCCTCGTGAGGGAGAATCTGGGGGGCATAGGGGCCACCCCAGAACCCCGATCCCGCTACCCCCCAATCCCTCTATCTCTATCCCATCATCTGTCATTGTGTAATTCAAATCATTTTTGATTCCCGGGGGGGGGAGGGGGGGGCAGGAAACGCCCCAATAAAACCCTCAGGGGGATTATTCAGGGATTTGGGGGGGCCGCAGGGGACGCCCCAAAGCCCCGATCCCGCTGTTCCCGGAATCCCTGGATGCCGCTGCCGAGCCCTCCGCCCTCGTTGCGTAATTCCAACCATTTTTAATTCCCGGGGGGGCAGGAAACGCGTCGCTGCCGTTACACAAAGCAGGAAGGGGGGAGGGAGAAGTCTGGGGGGGCGTCCTGTCCTTAGTCCCACCAAACCCACCCAATCCACCCCCCCCAAATCCATCTCCCGCTTGGAAAACACCCCTCCTTCCCAAAATAAGAAAAAGCCAACAATTCGGGCAATTCGCACAATTCCCCCCTACACAAAACCGGGCGGTTCGGGGGTGTCTCTGCTGGGGCCCGCCCTTTCCCCCCCCCCTTTTCCCAGCGGCGCATCCGGCGGGGAATGGGATGACGGGACCTTCCTGTTCCCGGCCCCGCGCCCGCCTCGCGCCCGGCGGACGCCCCCGCCACGGCCCCCCCGCACCCCCGAGCCCGACGGGACCCCCGGAGCCACCCCCTTAGCCCTCCGGAACGCCCCCGGCCCCTCCCGAGCCGCGGAGCCGCCGAGGTGAGTCGGGGAGCGCGGAGGGAGGGAAACGCCGTTTTTTGGGGGGAAGGGGAGGGGAAAGAGCGGAGACACCCCCCCCCAAAAAAAAAAATTTTGGGAGACCCCATCCCTCCAATTTAGGGTACCCCGATGTTGGGTTTGGGATGGGGGAGGCGATGGCGGAGGGGCGCCGTTGGGGGGTTGGAAATGAGGGAAAAAGGAGAGTGGGAACCCTCCCTAAAAAAACGTGGGAGGACCCCCTCCCCAAATTTGAGATACCCCCCGGCTTGGATTTGGGATGGGGAGGCGATGGCGAAGGGATGGCAAAAGATTTGGGGCGGGTGAGATGTGGATGAGCGGCGGATTTTGGGGATGGAAAGGGAAGGGAAGAGAGCAGGGACACCCGCCCCTCCCAAAAAATTTGGAGATTCCCCCCGTCCAGCTGGGGATACCCAGGGGATAGAGGGGAACGATGGATTGGATCCGGGGGGGGGGCGGTGGAAATGAGGCGCCGTTTGTAGGGTTAGAAAAGAAGGAAAAAGGAGAGCGGGAAACACTACCCCCCCCCCAAATTTAGGAGATCCTTCCCCGATTGTGGATACCCCCGGTCTTGGATTTGGGAAGGGTGAGGCAATGGCAGGGGGGCGACAATGGAAGGGGAGGGGGGAGGTGCCTTTTTTTAGGTTTGGAAAAGAGGGAAAAAGGAGAGTAGGGACCCCCCCGAAAAATTTGGGAGACCCCTCCCGCAGTTGTGGATAACCACCGTCTTGGATTTGGGATGGGAGGGGAGATGGATTTGGGGCTGGGAGGAGGGATCAGCCTCTGGTTTGGGGGGCAGAAAGAGGGGGAATGAGAGTGGGGACCCCCTCCAAAAAATTTGGGAGACTTCCCCAAAGAATCTGGGTTATCCCATGTTAGATTTGAAGGGGGGAACTGTGGATGAACTGTTTTGGAAGGGGGGGCAAGAGAGTGGGGACCCCTAGAAAAGAACCTGGGAGTCACCCCCAGTATTCGAATTGGGGTGGGGGGTGAATTCTGGGGAAGGTTCCTGGGGCTCTGTTGTTCTTTTGTGCCCCTATTCCCAAAATTAAAGGGAGAGGGGGAAGGAAACTTGGGGGTACTGGGAATCATTTGGGGGCACCCTGGGTGATTTGGTGGCTCCCGGGTGATTTTGGGGGGCAGTGGGTGACCCCCCACCTTGTGACTCCTCCTCATCTGCATCCCTCCATTCCCGCCCCCCCCGCCCCCCAGATTTTAGGGGCTGAGTCCAGAGCAGCTGCGACAGCCCCCTAGACCCTCAAAGAGCAGGTGCGGAGCGGGGGGGAATTGGAGAGTACAGGGTGATTTGGGAGACACAGAGGGATTTGGGGTCACACAGAAGGATTTGGGGGGACACAAAAGGATTTTTGGGGGAACAGGGATATTTGAGGGGGCACAGAGGGATTTGGGATCACATGGAGGAGTTTGAGATTACACTGAGGGATTTGGGGGGGCATGAAGAGATTTGGGGGGACACAGAGATTTTGGGGGGAACAGATGGGTTGGGGGGCAGAGAGGTTTTTGGGGAGATGAGGCTTAGGGGAGCACATGGGAATTTGGGATCATCCTGAAGGGTTTGGAGGGGTAACACAGAAGGGTTTGCGTGGGGTACATGGAAACTGAGGGGGGCAGAAAAGGATTTGGGGTCACAGGGAGGATTTTAGACTCACACTGAGAAATTTGGGGGGCACAGCAGGAACCAAGATGCAAACAATCCTTTGGAATTGTTTTGGAATTGGGGGGGAGGTGGTTGTGGGTTTCTGCTTCTCAGGGGGGTCCTGGAGCACTTTGGGGTGCTCAGGGCCCTCCTTGACACCACAGTCCCTGCGGGAGCCCCCATGGAGCAGGACGAGCCAGACGTGGTGGAGCTGCAGGATTCGGACGAGGGGGACGTGGTCCGGAGGGTCTTCATTGGTGAGAGGGGGACCCCAAAAGTGGATGGGGGAGCTGGGGGGCTCCAGGTAACCTTGAATGGTGGTACAGGAGATTTTGGGGGGATCCAGACACTTTTGGAGGGGCTGTAGGCAAATTTGGGGAGCTCCAGGCACCCCAAGGAGGGGGTGCAGGCAATTTGGGGCGCATCCAGACACCCCTTGAAGGGGATATGGGCACTTCTGGGGGGCTGCAGGCAGATTTTGGGGGGCTCCAGATGCACCTAGAAGGGGGTAGAGGCATTTGGGATGGGGTTCAAGGCACTTCTGGGGGTCTCCAGACACCACTGGGGGGGGGAGGCATTAGAGGGGGGCTTAAAACACTCTTGAGGGGGTGCCAGACCCCCCAAGAAGGGGTTTTGGGAAATTTTGGGGGTCTTCAGGTACTTTTGGGGGGCTCCAGACACTTCAGGAGGGGGCACAACCCCTTTTTGGTGCACAGAGAGCATTTGGGAAGGGGGCGCAGCCCCTTTCTGGGGTGCACAGGACACCAGGAGGGGGCCACAGCCCTTTTTGTGCCCCCATCTGGGGTCACAACAAATACTTGGGTTCGGGGTCCAGCCAATTTTTGGGATCCAGTGAACATTTGGGATGGGTGTCTGGCCAATTTTTGGAACACAACAAATATTTGGTCGGGGTGCAGCCCTTTTTGGGTCACAATGAACATTTGGTTCAGGGGTCCAACCCCTTTCTGGGGCCCAGCCTGTTTTAGGAATACAATAAACATTTGTGTCGGAGTCCCAGGCCCTCTTAGAGTCACAGCAAACATTTGGTTGGGAGGTGCAGCCCCTTTTGTACTCTCACCCCCTCCCTGTGTCCCCCCAGCCGATGATGGCATCGTGAGCGACGGCGAGGCCGAGGTGTTGCCACATGAGATCATCCGCACAGTGATCCCACACAGCCCCCTGCGCCCCCCGCCGCCCCGCGGGACACCCGGCCCGGCCCCGGGGGGCTCCGAGGAGGGCGGGGGGCGGCGGGGTGGGGGCCGCCAGCGCCCCTTCATCTGCAACGAGTGTGGCAAGAGCTTCAGCCACTGGTCCAAGCTGCTGCGGCACCAACGCACGCACACGGGCGAGCGGCCCAGCACCTGCGGCGAGTGTGGCAAGAGCTTCTCGCAGAACTCGCACCTGGTGCAGCACCGCCGCACTCACACCGGGGAGAAGCCGTACAGGTGCGGCCACTGCGGCAAGAGCTTCTCCTGGAGCTCCAACCTTATCCAGCACCAGCGCATTCACACCGGGGAGCGCCCGTATGGTTGCGCCGAGTGCGGCAAGAGCTTCACGCAGAGCAAGAACCTCATCAAGCACCAGCGCACCCACGCCGGGCCGGGGGCAGCGCGGCCGCGGCGCTGCGCCCACCCCGTGGGTGCCCCGAGGGCGCTGAAGGGGTCTCGGGCGGGGGGCGAGGGCGAGGGGTCTGCAGGGGCTGAGGGCGGCTGCGGGCAGGAGCCGCTGATCTGTGTGGAGTGCGGGGAGAGCTTCGCCCGGAGCGCCGCGCTCAGGAGGCACCGCCGGGGGCACCGCCCGCTCTTCGTGCCCTGAGGGGACAATGTGGGGACAGTGCCCACTCTTCATGCCCTGAGGGAATGTGAGGACACTGTGGAGAGGGCACAGGGACAGTGGGGCACTGTCCTTTCACCGTTGTGGGCACTGCCCGCTCTTTGTGCCCTGAGGGGCAGGGGAACAGTGGCACCAGGACATGGGGACACACGAATCGTTGGGGCACTGCCTGCTCTTCATGCCCTGAGGGGACACCGCCGTGGGGACGCAAGGACAGTTGGGCAATGCCCTGGCAGCGTCCGCTGTTGGTGACCTACTGGGACACAGAGACAATGGGACATCCAGGTGGGGGACACAGGGACTGTGCCACCATGCGAGGAGACACAGGAAGTGATTCATGGGCAGGATGTGGTGACAGAGCTGGGGTCACACAGGTGAGGGAATGTGGTGACAACAAGCTGAGACACAGTGGGGGGCCACCTGGACTGGGACAAGGGCAGGACACTGTGACTCCAAGGGGGAGAACACATGGACAGGACAGAGTGACACAGAGCTGATGTCCCCAAGCCCACCCCCTGCCCTGTATCACCCTCAGTGCCCCTCGCTGTTCCCTGTCGGCACCACATCCCAGAGCTGTAAATAGGGGAGGGGGGGAGGGACAAAGAGGTGGGACCCGCGGGGATGGGAGGTGACACCGGGACACCCATGTGGGGGAGGGGACCCTCGGGGAGGGGTGGGGGGGGAAGTGACACCAGGACCCCCAGTGGGGTGGGGAGGGGGCATGGATGGGACTGGGCTGTGAATAAAGTTGTGTTTTAGGGAACCTGGGCACTGGTTTTAGGGAGTGACAAAAACGG